TAATGCAAGATGGGAAATTTAGTAACAGAGGGAATGTCTGGTCACGTGATCGCGGTCACGTGGCTCATCGCACGTGTCATAGGGAATACTACAATCAGACGGAGGTTGGCATCTCGCGGCACGCCTCCGTCTGACGTCAGCAGTGAGGACGGCATCACTGTATGCCGCAGGGGCACGTGGGATATGTAGTGTTCAGACGGAGGCCAGCATGAAAGAGCACGCCTCCGTCTGACATCAGTGAAATGGGCGGGGTTAAATGCCGAACGGGATAAGCCTGCTTAAGTCTGCAAAATAAAGGGCATAAAGCCCAAATGAGAAGCAAATATCAAATAAAATGAAGTAAAATATCTGGGAAACAATAAATGCTGATAATAAATACATAAAAGCCTAAATGGCTAAACATATATCAATGCCTTTATGTTAACATATAACCTCTATGGGCATTGAGCTAGTAGTTGAATAAAGAAATTAAAAAAAAAGGGGGATCAGTGATCAAGTTATCTCTATAACAATATTAATGGGGCATATGGTAGTCAACTGTGCCCTTATGGTAAGACTCTACATAAAAAAAACAAAAAAAATAAAAAATTATATAATTTTAAAATGTGTTAATTATAAAAAGTTAAAAAGGTCAAACAATAGATATCAATTATTATCTATTGATTCAGAGATTGAGGAGAATTTTTTAGACATCCGTACACAGAACCTTCCTCATACACAGACCCCATACTTACCCAGAACAAGGAAAAGAAGTTTAAGTATAGAGGAAGGAGAGGAGGTAGAAGACTACAAAAGAGAAAGGAAGGAGAGACCATAACAAATATAGACGAGAAAAAATTAGGCATTTTTAACCTTTCCCAAAAAGTTTTAACATCCAGATGCCGACCTCTGTCTGATTGTAGTATTCCCTATGACACGTGCGATGAGCCACGTGACCGCAGAGGTCCGCCATCACGTGACCAGACATTCCCTCTGTTACTACATTTCCCATTAGATTGCGATCACATGATTTTCAATCTCCTTTTTACTTTTTTGTCTATCTTTATTAATAATACTCGTTTTATTATCAAAATCTATGGATTACCTTATACACTGTTTTATTAACATTATGCATTTTTTATTTTTATGGTTTTAATAATTTCTGTATTTTACCTATTGTATTGATGATGTCATTTTGGCACCAAAATTTGAATTAGAATGTTTTATCTAAGTTTATATAAGTATCTATGTACCAGGTTGATTTTTACTATTGCCAGTTGATAAAGCCCTGTGTGGCGAAACGCGTTTTGGCTATTTATATTTTATACTGTATTAATAAAGGAATATTGGCTTTCTTATTATAAATTTGCCATATACCTTTTTTATTTTACTTTTACTAATTTCCTGGTACCTGGTTATATTTTATCTTGGAGCCTACATACGACCAAGAATCCTGGATGGGGATTGTACCACCTATGCGAATATATTGAGCAGTACATCCTGCTCATTCGAATGTGAGTACTTTTATTCTTTTATTTTATTTTATTTATATCCAGTGAGCACTATATTCTGCCTTTATCTTTTTTCCATACTGAGGAATCATCTTCACCTATATCCTACCAGTGGGGGACAAACGCCACTGAATGCCTAACCCACTAGAGCGAGTTTATGCTCTGAAATAGGGGAGTGTATTACCTCCCTACTATTCTTCATACCCTCAGTTATTAATAGACAATCTACACTATTGGATCTTCCCTGTTTTTTCTATTTTCCATGGTTATCATCGAGTCAAGACTACCCTAACATTAGAAGATCCAGTTTTCCATTGAACATACTACCTTCATATATTTACTGGAACCAGTAAGAGAAACACACAAAGTACTGTGATTTCCATTCATTCATTGGAACTTACTAAAAGTACACCAAGTATTTGGACTATTATTTATATATTTCTTTTTATGTTTTTAAGTGTATGTCAACACATTATATTTATCTTTTTCTACTTGTTGTAGCGCGACCTATTATTCCTGTTTTTGCCATTTCTTCTTTGAGGACTTTAGAGGGAACCTCATACTTATAGGTTGCTGCTCTCCACTTGTTTTCAATTCACCACTCAATCACGCAGCGCTGATCCATTCTCTACCAATGGTAACACAAGTCCAGGTTTATCACATCATTAATTTCATAGTGACTTCATTGTCTTTAAAGATGGTGTATCATTCCTTAAATGTAACCTTGTTATTTTGGGTACTCGTTTGGGCTGCAATGAGCTTGTTCAGAAATATAATTTGTACTTCAGTAAAAAATTTAAGTTAAGTTGAACCCAAAAGGTCACTGAGTACAAACATCTCAATCACAATTCTGCTTGTCGCACTTTCCCTCACAAACAACCATGGTTTAAGTTACTAATAACACTATGGTATGCTTTCAAAAATGAAAGGAAACAGGAAATGAGCATCATTTTTTTTCAGTGTGGATAAAGCAAAGCCCTATCACCTTCTCCCAACTGCATCTATAGAAGCAGCAGGCTGGGTGAAACCATTACAATTCTTGTTCTTCTTCTTCCCTTAGTAATACAGACTTGTGGTATCGTTGCAGATCTTGCTGTATACCAGCACTAGGGAGATGAACCTTCACTTGCTCCCTACTCATTTCTTTGCAAGCCCTTTTGGAGGCACTGAAAGTGATCCCAAAGTTTGCCTCATTTGTGCAATATCGTACCATCAACTCTTTGCCTTGCGTCAGCTGAAGATGCAGGTAGATCTGCATTGGTGGCAGTGGAAATACTGAATGGCACTTCTAGTAGCCATCTGAGGAGTGGCCAGTGGAGGTATCCTTAGGCTGCAATGTAAACATTGCATTTTCTCTGAAAAAAAACTGTGTTTTCAGCAAAAAGCCAGATGGCAATGATTATAATCACCAGAACAAATACAATAAGCTGTAGTTGTTCTGGTGACTATAGTGTCCCTTTAATATTGCTTGAGGTGGACTGTGTAATATGCATTGTTGAAACTTTTGAGATTTTGCATACTGTTCTGTACTTATATGTGTAACTGAAAAAACAAAAAAAACAAAGTTAAAATCACTTTTGAATTCACCTTGAATTCTCACTATAGTTAATAAACATGTTTGTGGCCTAACCTTCACTCATCTTTTTTTTTGCTCTTGATTGGACAGGAAATCTAGCGGACATAATTGGGCAAACATTTTGCACATTGTGGATAAGACGCTAATACAGGAGGGAACAGCTTCCAGGAAATTAAAATCTACACACCTGTGTACAAGACCTGTTCATTGGCACCTGTACTTTTAGTACAATCCAGGTCTTGTTCAGAGAGTGAAACATTTACTCATTCACTGCACATGTGTCTAACATAGATTATGTGTATTAAGCTGGTTTGAAAACATAAGCACTATATATGTAACTAATAAAACTCTGTGTATGACTTATTTAAAGCCACAGTCCTAAGAGATAGCAAATACACTTAGGCATTTGTTTTTGTGTCCATTCATCAACAAATGCAAATTCCTATGAATGAAATGAAGAACCAGTTGCTTGCTTAAAGGGACACTATAGTCACCAGAACAACTACAGCTTATTGCATTTGTTCAGGTGAGCAGAATCACTCCCTTCAGGTTTTTTGCTGCAAGCACTGTCTTTTTAGAGATAATGCAGTGTTTATATTACAGCCTAGTGATAACTCCACTTGTCACTCCTCAGATGGCTGCTAGAGGTGCTTCCTTGGACAGTCCTGCCTAGTGTGCATCCAAACATTCAGTGTCTTCACCCTCTGCATGCAGACACTGGACTTTCTCATAGAGATGCATTGATTCAATGCATCTCTATGAGGAGATGCTGATTGGCCAGGGTTCTGTTTGACATGTGCTGCCTCCTTGACCGTCTCAGCCAACCCCATGAGGAAGCACTGTCATTGGCTCAGACCACCACTTCTGATGATGTCAGAGGTCAGATGCAGTTCAGAGCAAAGGCAGCAGCTCCAGACTGGAATACAAGTAACATTTCTATATATTTAGGGAGGCAAGAGGATTCCTGGGAGGCTAGGTGCTGGTTTTAACACTATAGGGAATACATGTTTGTGTTTCTGACCCTATAGTGTTCATTTAAAAATCTATCCAGCCTGAGATGACCTCACCTAGAGGTGATTGTTTTAAATACCAAGTAAGTAATTTGAATTTGATATTTCTAAGGATATTTCTAAATACACAGGGTATAGTACTACCTAGAAAGTAGAATTGGAGTAGATAATTGAGCTTGTAAGGTTGCAGGTTAGATTCCTACATGTTCAGATTTTTTTTTTTTTTTTGCTTGCTCGGTGCACATCATATCCAGTGGTTTGTGATTTCAATATCTGCATTATGATTATTTTTCTATACTAAATCTTTATTTTTAGACTATTGAATTTATGTTCATATTCCAATGCCATATATGTATATTGACTTAATGGAACGTTGACAAACTACATTAATTTCACTTTATTCAGTTCCTGTGGACTGAACAGGCAAGAGAGCATTGGTTTACTTACTTCAATGTTGCTACATGACAATGCAAAAATTGAAGCCCATGGAGCAACGAAGTAAGGGGAGTGGGCCTTGACAGAGCCAGGAGTGGGCAGGTGCAGTCAGTTAGGGGTTGGCTTAAGCTAATGGAGCTTGGGGGCGGGATTAAAGGGGGTTAAAATAACGGCCATCTTAGAGAGTGGCCATTTTAATCAGAACTTAACTTACCTGTTAGTTGTGTCAGGTCTGTGGGGTTTTTCTTTTTTCTTTTGCTGCAGGTCCATGGCGTCCCTGGATGAGATCCTGGCCGGAGTGAGAGCAGCAGTGAAGGACCGAGGGCTGGCCTGGCTGCATGAACAGCTGGGGGCTGCAGTTCCCCCTCCAGCACCAGCGGAGCGCAGGACGGCGCGAAGAGCACGGCCGCCCCAGCGCTTGAGTCCGGGCATGGCGCCCGCTCCACGGCGGCGGAGGAGCCCGTCGGCACCCAGCCAGGAGGCAAGAGGGTCGGACAGCACTGGGAAGCGGCCGGCGCCGCCTGTGCGCCGCGGTGCCGGTCAGGCGAGGACGGCCGCAAAGCGCGGGCCTGCTGGAAAACGCGCCCCACCCAAGATGGCGGCAGGCAGCACAGGTACCCCAGAGGAGGGCTCCAGCACGGCGGGAATGGCGGCCGGGAGAGCGGAGGAACACGTGGTCGGCAGCACTTCAGTGAGGCGTCCCGGTGAGTCCACTCTGGTCACTGAGGGGTAGGGGGCGGGCGGGACGCGGGATGTTCCGGCGCAGGCGGCCTCCCAGCAACCCAGGGGTGGCCTGGTCAGCGGGACCAGCTCGCGGGCGGCCTTAGGTGTGGCCGGGACGGGTGACAGTGCCAGGCATAGGGAGGAGGGGCGGCAGGAAGACGACAGGATCGGACAGGGAGCGGCAGAGGTTCCAGCGGGCTGCCAGGGGGTGCAAGGGGCATCTGAGCCAGGCGCAGCGGCCAACAGATGGCCAGGTACAGCGGAGAAGGGGGACACACGCAGTACAGCGCGGGATAGGTAGGTCAGGAGCAGTAGCAGTGGAAGGTTGGGCCCCTCAGGCTGCTCTCACGGGGGGCACCGCAGCGGGACCAGGGAGCGGGAGGAGTACAGACGGGAGCGGCGCAGCGGTAGCGCCAGGCCCGGCAGCAGCAGGAGGTCAGCTGATCGGCAGTGGAGCAGGGACAGGAGTCCATCGCATAGCAGGCGCAGTGGTTCCAGGACCAGCTGCAGGGCGGGGAGAAGGAGGTCCGCTTCCAAGGACGGGCGGGGGCGGAGGCGGCGCAGCGCATCTGGGTCCTCGGGTGACAGTGCGCTAGGACAGCAGCGGGCCCCCAGGAGCAGGGAAGTTAGGCCGACAAGGCGGTGCGAAGCTTGGAACTGCGGAAAAGAGCGTAGGGAGGAAGGACGGGTAGGGGCCCAGCAGTACAGACTACCCAGGTTGTCTTCTCCTTACAGGTCGCGGAGCGCTACCCCTACGGTCCTGAGGAGGGATCAGGCGGATGGGAGTCGGCGTCAACCGGATGCTCCGGAGCCTGAACGGGTGGACGGAAGGTCGGCAACCCCGGGGCCTGGCACGGCCGGGGTCTCCAACGGTGAGTCCATATCTGCACAACACTCCGGACAGTTATTGGGCTATTTAAAAACACTATTGGAGGCATGGTCAGGGAAGGGGGAATCACCATTGCAGTTCGGAAAGGTATGGTCCCCTGACACGGCGGTTAAGGCAATAGGGGCGGGGGTCCAACCGGCGAGCGGTGGCGAGGCAAGCGAAGCGGTAGTGGCGTCCGGTGCGGCGGATGGGGGGGCTGAGTCGGCGGTCGGTTGTGGCGACATTTCGGACGCGGCACGTCAAAACGTACACGTATCTTTTGCGGGCCCCCTAGGTTGTCACCTGAAATTAGAGGTCAAAGAAAAGATTTGGAAGGGGGAGTTCATGGAAATTTTTTCCTTGCTCCCTTTGGAGGAATTCCTAGACTTGAAGGAGGAGGATAAGAAGGACGCCAAGAAGGAGGAAGAAGAAAAAAGGCGGAGGTATCGCAAGATACCGAAGACTTTTGGGAATTGGCTGAGGGCGTTCTGCATCCTGGCTAGTGTGATAGGGGAAAAAAGGCCAGGGAGCTGTTCGCAACTGTTCTGCTACTTGGATGGGATAGGCGATGCGTATCGGACGTATGGGGGCCTAGCGTGGTGGAAATATGATGAGCAGTTTCGGCAACGCTTGGCGGCCAACCCTACCATGCGGTGGGACCAAATGGACCTGCCGCTATGGATGAGGATTATGATGGCGCAGAAGGCTGCGCCCTTTCTCGGGGCAGCTGGGACAGCCTCAGGCGTGGCTGTGCCAGCGGGACAAAAGAAGGGCCTGTGCTGGACGTACAACGAGGGTCAATGCAAGTGGGGCACTTCATGCCGATTTAGGCACGAGTGTTCGGGCTGCGGAGGGAATCACGGCGCCAGCAGATGCTTCAAGAAAGGTAAGCTCAATGCAGGGGGTGGAACCGCAGGGGTGGCGGCCACCTCGGCTGCAACTGGGGGCGTCCCCAGTGAGGTTAGGCGCGATGTTGCCTTGGCTAAGGCAATACGCTAACCAGGAGGATGCAGCGTTCCTGTGGCGGGGTTTTAGGGAGGGCTTCGTGATCCCCTTCACGGTTAAGGAACCAGGGGCGGTTTGTGCCAATCTTAAATCGGTGCGGGAACGCCCGGAGGTAGTGCGGGAAAAGCTGGCCAAAGAGGTCCTTTTGGGGAGGATGGCGGGGCCGTTCCCGTATCCTCCTATAGCGGAGTTGCGGATATCCCCACTTGGAGTGGTCCCCAAAAAAGAGGCTGGCAAATTCAGGTTGATTCATCACTTATCGTATCCTAAAGGGTCATCGGTGAATGATGACATCGATGCAGCACTCTGTTCAGTATCTTACACATCATTCAACAGGGCAGTCGAGTTGGTACGGAGAGCTGGGCGGGGAGCGCTGATGGCGAAGGTGGACGTGGAGGCAGCGTTTCGGCTGCTTCCCATACACCCGTCATGTCATCACCTCTTGGGGTGTTGTTTTGAAGGGGGCTTCTTTGTGGATCTGTGCTTGCCGATGGGTTGTTCCATCTCGTGCGCCTATTTCGAGAAGTTTAGCACTTTTCTGGAATGGGTAGTGCGACGGGAATCGGCCGGGGGCACGGTTGTGCACTACCTGGACGACTTCTTATGTGTCGGCCCTCGAGGCTCAGACCGGTGCAAGCAGATACTACGGGTGTTCCAATGGGTAGCGCAGACGATGGGGGTTCCTTTGGCGGAGGACAAGACCGTGGGACCCGCCACGTGTCTTAGTTTTCTGGGTTTGGAGATCGATTCGGAGATCGGGGAATGTAGATTACCACAGGACAAGTTGCACAAACTGAAAGATTTGGTGCACACAATTGGGAGAGCACGGAAGGTGACGCTGAGGGGATTACAGTCTCTGGTAGGAAGCCTGAACTTTGCGTGCAGGGTCATACCCATGGGGAGGGTTTTCTGTAGACGATTGGCGCGGGCGACGAGCGGGATACGGATGCCGTCACACTATATCAGGGTTTCCGCGGACATGAAGGCGGACTTAGAGGTGTGGGATCGTTTTTTGAGGGACTTCAATGGCAAGGCCTTTTTTCGGGAGCAAGTGGTGTCTTCGGAAGCAGTGGGGCTGTTTACGGACGCTTCGGGCAGCGTGGGGTTCGGGGCTTATTTTGCGGGACGGTGGTGTGCCGAGGCATGGCCCGAGGCATGGAGGGCGAGCCCATTGATCAAGAATCTGGCATTTTTGGAACTCTTCCCTGTAGTGGTTGCGGTAGCATTGTGGGCTGCTGAATTAGCAAACAAACGAGTCGTGTTTTATTCGGACAATATGGCCGTGGTGCAGGCAATCAACAGTTTGTCGGCATCTTCGCTTCCGGTCTTATGCCTACTGCGGCATTTGGTGCTCCTTTGCATGTCTTCCAATTTAGTATTCAGGGCTAGGCACATTCCGGGATTCTCAAATGTGGTGGCTGATGCGCTTTCTCGTTTTCAGTGGGATCGTTTTCGGGAAGCGGCTCCAGAGGCACGGGAATGCGGGCAGGCCTGCCCAGACGAGATGTGGCGACTCGGGACATCGTGCTTGGGGAATACATAAAGAAATCCTTGGCACCGAGCACGTGGTCATCTTATGCTAAGGTTTGGAAGGAATGGGAGGAAACGGTTGAGGAGGTAGGTGGGGACCTTTCGGAGGGCCATAGGCTGGATGTCTTCCTATGGTTGTTGTGCCGGTTGTTTGCAAAGGGGGCTTCGCCGGCCATGGTGGACAGGCATATGTCCGCCTTGGCTTTCTGGTTTAAATTCCAAGGGTGGGAAGATTTGACAAAGCATTTCTTGGTTCGGCAGGCGGTTCGGGGTTTTCGGAGGGGGAAGACGTCGACGGACGTTAGGAGACCGGTGTCTTTTGCGGTCTTACAAGGTTTGGTGGGAAAGTTACCGGAGTTATGTTCCTCGCCATTTGAGGTGGTCCTTTTTTCTGGTGCGTTTGTCTGGGCGTTTTTCGGGGCGTTTCGGATCGGGGAGCTGGTTAGCGCAAACAAAGTGGGAGTTGGTGGCTTGCAGCGCGAGGATGTGGAAGTTAAGAGTGATCGCGTGCAGATTAGGTTGGGCCGATCGAAAACTGATGTTTTCGGCAAAGGCTGCTCCGTGGTGCTATTCGAGTTGCCGGGGTCAGGGTTGTGCCCGGTGGCCTGCGGATCAGGGTACCTGGGGATCCGTCCTAACGTTAGCGGTTGTTTTTTCCTGCACGCTGACGGCACGGCGCTGTCACGGTTTCAGTTCATTAGGATTTTTCGTTTGGGCTTAGTGAAGCTGGGCCTGCAGCCCACGCAATTCGGGTCGCATTCGTTCCGTATCGGTGCGGCTACAGAGGCGGCACGCTTGGGTTTGGGTGACGAGCGGATCAAGAGGATTGGACGGTGGGAATCCGTGCGGTTTCGCTCGTATGTGAGGCCCGACGGGATGGTGGAGCTTTGAGGGGTTAAATGGCCGGGACTGGGGGACACTGGCACTGCGGTGTAATTAATTTTGTCTCTTTTCAGGTTGGAATGTTTGGTTGCTGGGACACTCGTTCGTATATTGGGCACAGAAGAGGGCCGCAGTTCGGAGACAAGGAACACAACTGGGCTTTCCTCTGGAACGGGCAGTCTTATCCTGGTTTGGTTTTCGAGGTTTTAGTTGGCAGAGCTTGAGTAATGTTTTATTTACAAAAGTGTCAAAGGGTCCGGTTCCGGATGTGGTAGTGGTGCACGGTGGCGGGAATGACTTAGGGCTGATTCCGCAACGGGAACTGTTGCGGCGAATGAAGAGGGACATGGATCGGCTACGGGAGCTGGTCCCTGACGTGGTGGTGGTGTGGTCGGAGATGGTGCCTCGGTTTACATGGCGGCACGCCAGGGACCCTGCTGCGGTGGCACGATGCAGGGGGAAGGTTAATAGAGCTATGGCAGTATTTGTTAAGCGGATGGGGGGAGTAGTGGTGAGGCATCGGGAACTGGAGGGCATGTTGCCAGGTTATTATAGGAGGGATGGAGTACACCTGTCAGAGGTGGGGTGTGACTTGCTGAACTTGGGGTTCCAGGAGGGCATAGCCCGAGCCCTGTTTCAGTGTGGTGGGGGTCGCACATGGTCTTAAGGGGTCAAGACAAGTGCTGTG